CTAAAATTTGTAACAGTAAATATGCTGGTAAAACTTGTAATTTGGAATTTACATTTCAAGAAAGTCAAACTAGCTTAAAAGTATTCTTCTTATGACTAATAAAGAAAAACTGGGAGATACAAGACTCTAGTTACTGAGCAATTAACACAGAGAAATACATGTTTTACATTTAAGAAGAGTTAGGGAGGAGTGGAAGGAGATGAGAAAAAAAACAGAAAAGGAGAAAAACATAAAAATAAAACATAAAAATGAACCTAAAAACATAAAAAAATGAACCTTAGAAAAGATTTTTCTTATCTGTGCTTCATTTTACTAAATAGAAGAAAAAAAAACCCAACTTACAAGTCTTAAGTATAAAGTAACCTAATTTCATCCCAATTTTATGGAGAGGAGGGTTAACTTCATTTAGGTGTGAAGACACATTACTCAAAAAAAAAAAAAAACCAGAAATAAACAAAACCAATTCTATGTAGAGTATTGTAAATCTAGTTATTGATTAAAAGTGCCAGAGGTAAATTCAGGTGTCGTTAGTCACCCTGAACATCAAAGTGGAGCAAGGCTTAGAGGTTGCCAAATGATTATCTAGCTTTGGCAAGGCTAAAGTAAGAAGTCATTCTATCCTCTATGACCATTAAGGGGGCATATTTTAAAACAAGAATGTAAACTGTATTCATCTAAAGAATGCAGTAGGTAAATCTGTTATTTTGCTCAGTCCCTTCTTTGGTCATCCTCTTCTGAAAGGCAGGTATATTAATTTCAGTGTACTTAAAGATGTTGGGTCTTGTATATATACTAGGCTTTTTATACAGTCTCTTTCAATAATTTAAATTAAGATATTTAAAAAAATGGTTGGGTGTGGTAGCTCACACCTGTAATCCCAGCACTGTGGGAGGCCGAGGCAGGAGGATTCATTGAGCCCAGGAGATCAAGACCAGCCTGGGCAACATGACTAGACCCTATCTCTATTTAAAAAAAAAAAAAAAATTATATATATATGTATATATGTCTCATGAGGTTAACACTTGCACTAGAAGGTTAGAGTTCAGCTGGAGCAGCTATGTTTGGTCATGTGGGAAGAGAAGAAACCTACTGGTAACAGATATAAGTAGAGTTGAGACTGTGTCAACCCGGACCTTAGGTACTGACTTTTGAGTTCCTATTTTAGTGTTCACATGGCCTGCTGTGTTACATTTTCTGTTCTTCAAGACCTATTTTACTTACATGTATGTGTGTATGTATGTCTAGGTACATGTGTGTGCATGTTTTTTTTTTAAATAATCTTTTGGGTTTGTGTGCATGTCATGTAAAAAGCCACATAATGGCTTAAATTTACACCTGTGTCTTTAAGTAGTGGTGCAAGCCCAATATCACCCAGTATGCTAACCACAGCTGCACGCCTCATACACTTCTAATAAAGTCCACTACTTAAGCTAGCTTGAATAGGTGTGTACTCCTGACAAACCAAAGTTTACACTTGACCAAAAAAAAAAGAAGGAATTCAGACTTCTAAAATCACAAAAGTATAAAAAGGATATCTTTTTAATTATTATTTTTTAATTTTTACATTTACCTATGTCATAACTCACTTATATGGAGTAGAAATTCAGTTCAACTCAAGAATAAAATACTGACTGGGCATGGTGGGGTGGCTCATGCCTGTAATCCCAGCACTTTGGGAGCTGAGGAGGGAGGATTGCTTGAGACCAGGAGTTCACGACCTGCCTGGGCAACACAGCGAGATCACATCGCTACAAAAAAAAAAAAAAAGTTAAAAATTAGCCAGGTGTGGTGGTATGCACCTGTAGTCCCAGCTACTTGAGAGTCTGAGGTGGAAGGATCGCTTGAGCTTAGGGGGTCAAGGCTACAGTGAGTTGTGACTATATGCCACTGCAGTCCACCCAGCGAGACAAAGTGAGACCCTGCTGTCTCAAAAAAAAAAAAAGAAAAAAGAAAAGAAAGAAAAGAAAAAACCCCACAAAAAACTGAAGCCTGTGTCCTATTAGACCCAAGATTTCATCCTGGGGTTTGCCACTGATAGTCTGTGTAATCTTTTTTGTGAAATAGGGTCTCACTTTGTTACCCAAGCTAGAGCGTGGAGGCGTGATCATGGCTCACTGCAGCCTTGACCTTCCAGACTTAGGTGATACACCTCAGCCTCCCAAGTAGCTGGGACCATAGGCATGTGCCACTACTCCCAGCTAATTTTTGTTATTTTTTTGTAGAGATGGGGTTTTGCCATGTTGCCCGGCTAGTCTTGAATTTTTGGGCTCAACTGGTCCTCCTGCCTCAGCCTCCCTAAGTGCTGGGATTACTGGTGTGAGCCACCATGCTCAGTCTAATCTTGAGCAGTTTAGCCGGGGCTGAGAATCCCTGGCTTAAGTTATTGACCATTTAGTTTACCAGGCAGCCTATGTGACCACTGGCCTGCTAAGAGGGTTTAAGTACTGAAAGTAAAATAAGCAATAAACTTCTGGCCTGCAGAGGAAATATCAAAGGAATTATTTAAACATAATTCCGGTCAAAAATGAAACGCTTCCTTGGAATTCTTAATAGCAAAGGAAGAAAATCCTAAGCCTAATAAGACATGTACCTTCATCTGAAAGGATCTCAGAAAGCTCAACTCAAAGTTAGATATAATCTCAAAAAAAAAAGCCTCTGAGTGTCAATACAGTACAAGAGAGATGGGAGATTCTTAAGGAAATGAAATTCTGATTATATAATCACAAACAGTCCTAAAGAGATGGGAAAACAGTTAAAGAAACCAACTCAATTTTTCTGGGCAGCTCGGATTTTTACAAGTATACATACAAAAGAAGACAGTTAATTATGAATACGAAACATTGGTATGAACCAGTAAGAAAAGTATCACAAAGCCTAGTAAGAACCGAGGTTTCCAAAAATGCTAATAAAATAACAACAACAACAACAACAACAACAACAAACAACTAAAGTTATGCTCAGAACAAGAAAATAATCGGTTAGGAGAAAGATAACGTTAACTGATAACAAAGAGAAGGAAGAGTTTCTCAAAAACAATTCTGTGTTTGTCTTTTCCATCTGTAAGTATGGCTCTCAAGTTGGAAACAACAAAAAAATAAAAAGAAACGGAAGTCTGTGACAGTTAAAGAGAGGGTACTAGAACTCAAGTTTATTTAAGCACATAGAAGACTCCACAAATTAAATCTCAAGGTCTGGGGAAAAAAACTTCAAATACGGAAAAATTAAAAATAAAACAGTACTGCCCTGATTTTTTCTGCGACCACTTATCCTCAAGTTCTCACTGCCCTGATTTTTAAAAAGGGAAGGAGGACAGGTTACAGAAAATATAGAAAGGTTAGCTTAACATTGGTCTCTTAAAAATTTCCAGAAAAAGGCATCAAGTGTGTGACTTCTAAATATTTGGAATTTAAAAGGCCAAGACTAGGTGCTGAGTCAACAAGTAGGTGAGAAAAATCAAAATTAACTGAATTTTCTTTTTTGACAAAGTTTTCAATAAGTCTGAATAATGTCTGGCAATGCCACAGAATGCTACGGCAGTGAACCTTGATTTTTCACGACCACCTTGTAAGTGAGAAGTGTAGGCGGGACAACAGTAGAAGTAAATTCACAGTTGCTTAAAGAGTTCTTTCTGAAGCATAATAGAAACAGTGTCTAGTAGTGAGGCAACCACAGGTTTTTATCTCTGGTCATGTCCTGGTCAATATTGTTTTCGGTGACCATAATGAATATTAGAAAGCTTATTTATTTGTACAAGATGATAAGCTAAAAGGGACAAAAAATATTCCAAAATTCAAAAAGATTCTGGTAAGCTGGTATAATGAATTTAAACCAAAAAAATGATACTTCACAGGAATAAACCACTCCTGCATTTAAGTTTAAAATATAATGTCTAAATACATAGATAACTGTTTGGTAGAGAGCTTGTTTGGTGTAATTTGCATGAAAAAGAACTTTAGATTTTAGTGATTTAGACTCAGTGAATTTGTTCTTAAAAACTTATGAAATTTTACACTGTATATTCAAAGGTCAGAATTTCTAGGAAAAAAACTGTTTTGTAAGCTACTGAAATGGCCAATTAAGGAGCTAAAGTGTAAACTTAGCTTTAGAGCATTTTAAAATAATTTTATGGGCCTTTTGAGACCCACTCAAACTGCAATGACATCTCAAGTATTTGTAAATCCAAATCATATAAAACAGTGTCTATCTACAACTCTCACAGACACAAAATCAAAAAAAGAATTATATATTGAGGTTTTTTTTAGTCAATTTAATATTGAGCAGAAAGAACAAATGAAATTAGGGTAACAAAGAAGTTTCTTTCTAAAGATACTTTTTTTTGTGTTTTGAAACTATGTTCTTTACTCTAGAGAACTTTCAGAAACTTCTCTGTAATTAGTACTTGAAGGGTTAGGCCCAGGTATTATCTACTAAAAATAAAGACTACATGGCAGAGTATCAGATTCACTCTTCTGCAATTCTCCTTTATGCCAAAGAATCTTTACTCAATGTAATGATAAAATGAGAAAGGAAAGGTCAGAAAAATTTAGTCTATTCATAAGCTTATGGAATATAGACACAGACCCATAGTCTATACATAAACTTTTTGATACTACTTCAGAGCTGTTATGCATTGTGAAAACTCAACTGATACTGAAAGAAACACTTTGACATTTTTAAATTCTCCGGTATAATCTAAGCACTAAAACAAAAACAAAACAGAACAAAAAAAACACAGTACTTGGTAGATTTCAGTGTATTAATAAATTACACAAAGACATCTTAAGCTAAACTTTATAAAAAGACTTAACTAGGAATATTAAATAACCTATTCAGAGACTCATGAAATTCTATCCTACATAAAATACTAAAATATACAACTTTTAAAGCTTTAATGGGAAAAATTTTTTTTTGTATATCTCATCTATTCTAATGTCAAGTGATTTATAAAGAAGAAATCTGTAGGAGCAAAAGCATTAATAACAAAGAATTTATATACATACAGAAATGTACAGTCTTCTGGAAAGGAGTTTCCATATGATGTAGAGGGAAATGCATTGGATTTGTTTTCCTGTTCCTTCTGAGTCACAGGCATATGTTCTACACAAAAAAATACAAATGTGAGCCACAAATATACCAAGTTAAAAACCATTTGCTATAAGTATCCAAGTAATATGTTCATTGACTAGAGTCTGCCCATATGGATCCCTAAAATATGCAAACATATTAAGGTTTCAAGATTGAGGCAAAAGATTAAATGTCAGTATTTTCAAAAATATTAATAAAATAGGATAAAACACTGAGGACAGAAAACATTTCTACTGTAGAAACTCTAGTTTGGCCTGAACTTGATTTGAAGCTTAACCAATCTTTAAGGTGGACATTGAGTATCCCTGCTTCTGCATGCATTTTATAGAGAAATCACATAATTCTTAAAGGCTCTATAAAAGTCAGAAAATGAAAAATTTATGTACCTTTTGTTTTCCTATTGCTCTACAACTACTTTGGCGAGGGGATGAAGTATCTGGGTATCTCTTTTGATCTAGTTTTCACATTTCTTCTTTTTTTTGAGACAGAGTCTTATTCACTCTGTTGCCCAGGGTGGAAGGCAGTGGTGTGATCTTGGCTCACTGCACCCTTCACCTCCTAGGTTCAAATGATTCTCCTGCCTCAGCCTCTCCAGTAGTTGGCATTACAGGCGTGCAAAACCACACCCAGCTAATTTTTGTAGTTTCAGTAGAGACAGGGTTTTATCATGTTGGTCAAGCTGATCTTGAACTCCTGTCCTCAAGTGATCTGCCCACCTGGGCCTCCCAAAGGGCTGGGATTACAGGCATGAGCCACTGTGCCTGGCCCACTATATTTATTTTCTAATAAAAAAATTATAACTTACTTTCCCCCTCAAAAAAAATTTAATAAAAGGATATTGTATTTCAAGGTTGCTCTGTGGCTAACTGAAAAATATCTGTCTTTAATTTTCCAAGTAAAGAAAGGTTTAAAATCTGATAGCTGAGCCAAACACAAGGTTCATGCCTGTAATCCCAGCACTTTGGAAGGATGAAATGGGAGGATTACTTGAGGCCAGGAGTTCAAGGGCCCCCTGAGCAACAGAACAAGGCCCTGTCTCTACAAGAAAAAAAAAAAAAAAGAAAAAAGTTAGCCAGGCGTGGTGGCGCATGCCCGTAGTTCTAGCTATTTGGGAACTGAGGTGGGAGCACTGCTTAAGTCCAGGAGTTGTAGGCTGCAGTGAGCTATACTTGCACCACTGCACTCCAGCCTGAGCGACAGAGAAAGACCCCATCTCTAAAATAAATGAATAAATAAAAATTTGATAGTTGAAGAGAGCTATGTAAAAATAAAATAAAAATTTAGGACCTTCCAAATTTATTATGCCAAAGGGAAAAGTTAAGCCCTGAAAGATGACTCATGTAACATGATGATTTTTTTCTTTGGTGCATGATCATTGCTTTCTGACTTCTGTGTTGAGATGTTACACATTAACTAGACTCCCTATTCTTTTTTTTTTTTTTTAAAGACACAAGGTCTTGCTCTGTCACCCAAGCTGGAGTACATTGATGTGATCATGGGCAACTCCACACCCGACTAATTTTTAAAATTGTTTTGTAGAGGTAGACTCTCACTATGTTGCCTGGTCTTGACCTCCTGGACTCAAGTGATCCTGCCACCTCAGCCTTCCAAAGTTCTGGGATTACAAGCCTGAGACACCATGCCTAGCTAAGATTCCCTATTCTTTATTCAGACTTAGTCTAAATGATATGAAGAAAGAGACCCTTGTGACCGTTACCTGTTTACAACAGCATGTTGGCCAACCCGCTTAGAGTGTAATCAAAAGTAGCCAATCAAATATCTGTATGTTATCCTTTGCACAAAAATGCGGTAATCCTGTTCAACACCTCTGTTTTGCCTATATAAATAATCCTCATTTCTCCCCACACCAGAAGCATTTATCACCATTCTTTGGTATAGCACCAGTCCTCAGATGGCTACCCTTACGCTTTGCACCTGAATAAACTCTCTCAAAATTAGATTCTGGGCTGGGCATGGTGGTTCACACCTGTAATCTCAGCACTTTGGGAGGCTGAGGCGGGCGGATCACCTGAGGTCAGTAGTTCGAGACCAGCCTGGCCAACATGGTGAAACTCTGTCTCCACTAAAAATACAAAAATTAGCCTGGTGTGGTGGCAGGCGCCTGTAATCCCAGCTACTCAGGAGGCTGAGGCAGGAGAATCGCTTGAACCCGGGAGGCGAAGGTTGCAGTGAGCCAAGATTGTGCCACTGCACTCCAGCCTGGAGGACACGTACAAGACTTCATCTCAAAAAAAAAAAAAAAAAAAATTAGATTCTGACCCTTTTGATTATTTTAGGTTCACAGCTGTAACTGATTAGAAATCAATTTTACGAATTAAGAGTTTGACTTTTCCTCCAGCTAGTTTATTTGCATGAGTTACATAAACCTGTATTAACAAATATGAGCAAAATAAATGTATATAAGCATAGCTGGAAATAGGATTTACTCAAAAACATGGAGATTTAGTCATTAGATAAAAGAGAAAAGGTAAATAATTTCTCTCAAGAAAATACTATCCAATCCTTCATATGGAGACAGAGGAAATATTGACAGTTACACATCATCAAGAAAAATAAACATAATTAGCAGTTCGATGACAGCCTGGGGAGTGTAGGTTGGATCCAGGACAGCTTGTTTTGACCTCAACACAAAGTTCTTTTGTTTCTCTCATTCTCAACATTGTTTTTAAAATAAATGCTAGCATGAAACCTTTTTTTTTTTTTTTTAAAAGACAGGGTCTCACTCTTTTGCCTAGGGTGGAAGGCTGGAATGCAGTAGTGTGATCCCAGCTCACTGCAGATTTGATTTCCTGGGCTCAAGCGATCCTCCTATCGCAGCCTCTTGAGTACCTGGGACCACACATACATATCACCACAGCCAGCTAATTTTTTTTTTTATTATCTGTAGAGATGAGGTCTCATTGTGTTGCCCAGGTTGGTCTCAAACTCCTGAGCCAAAGTGATCCTCCCACCTCGGCCTCCTAAAGTGCTTGGATTACAGGCCTGAGCCACTGCATCCAGCCCACATGAAACTTTATTACCAAAGGTTTTCAATCCTTACATTTGCCAACAATGTCAATTACATAACTCTCCCCAACTGTTTACTTAAAAACACTTCACCACTAGCAAATAAATATACTCTTATCTTGATGCATTTGTTACATTTCAGAGGGACAAACTATATAAAAATACGAAATTATAATATTCGGCATTTCTATGATAAAATTATTTTCTTAAAAGACCCCAAACAAAAACCAACTGACTTTTTGTGGAAAAAAGTTTCTTCAGAATGAAAAGAAATCTTTAGAATTAGTTGTTACCATTTTTCTTGGTAACAAGTGAGGTTAAAAGCCTCTCCCTTGCAAAACTAAATATAATTCGTTAAGGATTGTCCAGATGAGATATAGTAGCATAAAAATTATTTTGAATTGAAGACATCTGAGAATGAACAAATATAGGAAAAGGCTTTCTCTGGAGTTCCCTTATCTGTCTAAAAATAGATCCTCCAAAAAAGGAACTCAATTGTCATAAATCCCCTCCCAGAAGTTTCATCAACCAGGAATGATTTCATCTTATCAGGGAGAATAGAGGCAGTCAGTACTATACTCAGACACTCTTACAAATCTCCCACTTATTCTTGTAGGGCCCATTTATCTTTGAAGTCATGTGTTCTTCCAGAAGTGCTCCTCTGCCCCTCCTTTTCACCTATTAGGGTGGTATAATGTGCTCTCAAATCTCACCAGTGCTTTGGGTATTCACTTCTTTCTGTGATGCTCCTGTGAGGCAGGAAATTAAAGAAAGAAAGAAAAATAAAATTAAAAAGAAAGAGAAATAAGCTTTCCCATTTTAGGACGACTTATCCCAGAGGCAGCAACAGGCACAGCCCAAACCCAGAAAAGGTCTTGATAATACTATCTAAGAAGCCAGGACACAAAGAAATGTGCTCTGGGACTCTCCCAGCACTCCCTCAACATAGGGAGGAGAAAAACAAATTTTCCTTTCTCTTATGGTATGAGTGTATAGATTCCTGTTCTCTGTAACTAGTAACTTCAAGTATTCTGTTTTATCTAAACAGTGGAGTGAAGGTCATGAGCTGTCTGAGCAGGCCTGAGTTACAGCCACCTGGGCACCATAGTGAAGGTCATGGAATAAGCTGTGCTAGGCACTAGAGAAAAACCTAGATAACAGACATCTGGGCTGCAGAGCAATGGTCATGTGTAATCCTGAGTCATGAACCTGTCACAATTTGATTAACTATCTTTGTTCTGCCTCTGTATCATTGCTTTCGCGCCACTACGCTTTGTGCCACTGTAAGCTTGTTTCTGGCTAGCCCACCCCCTTGCATATAAAAGTCAACTGCTGTCTTTGTTCTGGGCCCAGTTTTTGTATGTTAAGTCTGCTGGGTCTGAGTGCACTCAATAAAGATCCTCCTGTATTCACCCTAAGATCTCTCTGGTCCTCCTAATTCCCGCATATAAAATTAAAAGTTGGCCAGGCGCAGTAGCTCATGCCTGTAATTCCAACACTTTGGGAGGCCAAGGCAAGCAGTTTGCCTGAGCTCAGGAGTTCGCAACCAGTCTAGGCAACATGGTGAAACCCTGTCTCTACTAAAACACACAAAAAAATTAGCCAGCTGTGGCGGCATGAGCCTGTAGTCCCAGCTACTTGGGAGGCTGAGGCAGGAGAATTGCTTGAACCCAGGAGGCGGTGGTTGCAGTGAGCCGAGATACCACCACTGTACTCCAGCCTGGGTGAGAGAGCGAGACCTCGTCTCAAAAAAAAAGAAAAAAAAATTAACACATTTGTTTATGTCTCTTCTCCTGTTAATCTGTCTTCTATCTTTTGTTACAGCCCTTATCCCCCAGCCACTGAGATAAAATTTTTCCTCCCCTACAATTCTGAGGGTTACTGAAGGATACTGTGAAAGGAAGACTGTTTTCTTCAAGAAACTACTCTTCCAAAGCTATGGCTACTGAAATTGAGGATACTTTTGAATACCAAATGGTTTACTTAAAATAGACTGGTGATGCTAGACTATATTTTCTGAGATTTAAAAGCCTTAAGACTCCAAATTATAAAAGACAAAAATCATTAAAATTTATTGACAACATCTAACAGCATTAATATAAACCTAGTAAATATTGTACTTCCTCAAAACTTCAGCAAATGTGTGATAGACTAAGATTTATGGAATGGTGATTGATCCTGTTAAAATGTAACATCATAAGAAATATATATTTGGTTTCTGCCCTGGCTCCTGACATAATTCCTAAAACCCTTCTAATTTCAAGTAACAGGTGTGAGCGGAGCATCTTCTGTTTTAATATTTGTCTTAGTCCCCAGTTCCTGACATAAGAACTTCTGAGACCCTTGGAATCTCCAGTAGTGGTAAGAGCGTCTTTTGTATGCTAATGACTACTGAGAGGTGAGGTGTCCCTAGACAGCTTCAGGATGGGGGCTGGTTGTCAGAAAGACCAAGGCACTTCTGACAAAGGCATGGTTAAAGAGTTGGCACTTTCATCCCTACCCTTTCCACCCCCATATCCAGGGAAGAGAAAGAGGCAGATTAAGCAAATCACCAATGGGCTGATGACTGAATCATGCCTATGTAATGAGACCTCCACAAAACCCCTGAACAACAGGGTTCAGAGAGCTTTCAGACTGGTGAATGCATCCACATACTGGGAGGGTGGTACACCCCAAAACTCCACAGGGACAGAAGCTCCTGTACTCAGGCCCTTCCAGACTTTGCCCTGTGTACCTCTTCACCTGGCTATTCATTTGTATCCTTTACAATACCATTTATAATAAACTGGTAATCGTAAGTGCTTCTGTGAGTTCTATAAGCCATTATAGCAAATCATGGAATCTGAGGAGGGGGTTGTGGGAACCTCTGATTTGTAGCCAAGTCAGTCAGAAGTACAGGAGGCCCAGGGATTGTGACCAGTGTCTGAAATGGGAGCAAGTTGGTGGGAATGAGCCCTTAATCTGTGGGATCTGTGCTAACTCTGGGTAGCACTAAGTGTCAGAACTGAATTAAATTTTAGAACACAACATCCATTGGCGTCCACAGAATACTGGAGAATTGCACGGCATGGAAAACCCACATTTGGTGTCAGAAGTTTTGAGAGAAGAGAAACAGTTTTTCTTTAGTATATTATCTTTGATCCTTCTAAACTGATTTAGAGCTTGGAAGACTGATGGTCTAAAAGCAATCTAGAAATAAAAGATTTACCCACCATCTTATCTACACAAGAATATATCTTTCAAGTATTGTTCTTCACAGAAAGCGGATATATAGTGATTTAAAGGTACAATTCTATTTGCCCTCTTTAAAAGAGAAATTTTTCCCCCCCAAAGAAGACACACATTTGTTAATTCTTTCCCATTTGTCTCTAGATGGGTAGGACTTTTCATTTAACAGAGGAAACTGTGATTTACGTAACTTAGAAATGTGGATGTTAGATTTTATTTTAAATTATCTTTAATTAGCCCGACCTATTAAAGCTATCCTGCTTCATGGCAAGAAAATATCAGAGAATACTCTACATTGGGAATAGAGATGTACATACCCTTTATTGATGTTGAACTGTTAATTATAGTTGCTTCATTCACTAGAATCATTGCTTGGATGTATTCTGTTAAAGACAGAAAAACAGCATCACCATTACCGTTATTCATGGTGCCAGCTACTGTGCTGAACAATTTACATATTTTATCTCATTTAATCTTCACTACTCCCTGAGAGGTTAATAGTACTATCTGCATTAGAGACAAAAGAAACTGAGGCTCAGAGGTTAAGCTATTTATTCCAGGACATTCAGCTAGGAAGTAGTACAACTGGATTAGAATCTAGATTCATCTGACTTATGGAGGATTGAGAAGGAACATTAAAATGAAAAACAGTGCCAATTTTTTTTGATAAACACATAATAATAATGTCATAAGAACATCCAGAAAGTATTAAAAATAATCTGGAGAAAAATTTGCTTCAAAACCATATGTCCTGATGGATTGAGGACGATTCCATCTTAAAGTCTTACGTTCTATAACCAACCAGGGTTGACAACAAACAAATAGAAAAAATAAAAACTTGGATGACTGAACTAACTGCCTATGTAGAACACAAATTTTGCTTTCAGAAGACTGGCAGAGTAAGTTCTGTTTAAAGCAGGCAAAATAAAGTTATATGTACTTTTACACATATATATGAAAATACTAGTTGTCTCTGAATGTGGAATAATTTTTCCTTGTTATATTTTTCTGTAAGTGTCAAATGTTATGTTACTTTTGCAACATTCCCCTAAAAAAAAGATAAACAAGAGAAAAAGTAGTTTGAGATAAAAAGAAATTCAGTAGGTATTATTCAAAAGTAATTATATCCACCTACTTTTACAAACAGCAATATTAGAAATAGAATGACACTACACTGCTAGAGAGAAATATTTAGTATTAAACATATTCAAAGTTTTTATTGCTTCATACCTTTATTGGTGGCAGACCCATCTTTGATCTTTTGTTTCAGTGACTGCAGCACATTTTGTACTTGTTCAAAAATGAAGTCCACTTTTCCATCATCTTCTAGCTCCATCCAGAAAGTTTTTGCATCGCCTAAAATTAAAATAAGTGACTAGCCTAAGAGCTAATAGAAAAATACTGTAATTTATCTAAGGAACATGTTATAGAACAATCTACTTGGTTTCTAAATAAGATCAAGACTCATCTGGTCTATCATTTTCCTTGAGGAAAATATTTTAGTAATGTTTCCTTACAAAGAGCTAGAAACAATATGATCTAAGTGTCTCACCCATTTCTGTTAATTTTTAAAATACATATTGAAAACTTTAGTGACACTTTCTTGACTAGAAAACGGAAGAAAGACTTCACTGGAGAGTGGTTGTGAGGTATATGTATAGATTATACATACACTTTTAAAAGTCTTAGGGATATAATCTCCACTGAGTGTGGTTTCAGAATGAGACAACTCAATGGCTGCTGAAATAACTAAATGTCCAACAATATTGCTTTTAAAAAAAGTCTTCTGTACGTTTAATTGCATGAAGCAAATTAATGTTTAAAGTTTTACAGAGAAAGTTACATAAATGAGCCAACATTTCTGATGCCCAGTAAGCTAATACTTTGAAATTTTCCTAAAGAAACAATCCTTTCAAACTTGAAAACATAAGAAAAACAATTATAAGTAGGCAAAAGCTAAATCTCACATCATGTTTAAAAGTAACAAAAATACCTAAAATGCTAAGCATAATTCATTTATACAATGTTACAATGTATAAAATTATTTAAAATCAATGAATAGGGCCTTAAGCAAAGGAGAGACATAGTAATAATTACATTTTAGAAAGGTCACTGGAGTAGGCACAGGGAGGATTAATGAGTAGACAGTCCAGATGGCTTACAAAAAATACATTTTCCTTAACACAAGTTAAACCCAGAACTTCCAAGTTTGGCAAAGAAGGGAGAATTTGCATAAGGGGCTTAGGTATCAAAGTCTCAATTTCTGCCGGGAAAGTCACCTTTCCCAAAGGGGACTTTGGCTAATTAGTGCTGCTGCCAACACAGCAGCCTCTGGAGGGGTGTTGTTTTCCTACTAATACTTTGGCCTGATGTATACTACGTAAGACTAAGCTTACTTCTAATTCCCCATAGCACAGCTCAAACAAGATTTCAAGATTTTAAACAAGAGCAATGTGAGAGGACAAAATAGATGAGAACTGGTGCTTAAAAGGCAGGTAGGGGCATGACAACGAAGGCCCTATGTGCCATGCTAGGCAACTTTTATATGGAAAGCTACCCAAGAGGTATATGGATCTTATGATGTGATTAGTTATGTTTTCCAGAAAGATCACTCAGGTAGCAGTGGGAGAAGTCATGAATGATTTCCACTTTTTGCCTCAGGCAATCATATGGACAATAATGCTATTCAGTAAGGTACGAATAAAGGTAGAGGGACAGGTGAAAAATTCAAGTAGTAAGAGGCTCTCTGAACAAACTGGATGCATAGGCTCTAGAGTAAGATCTGGTTCAGAAATACAAATTGGAGTCATTAACATACAAATACTTGCTGATGCCATAGAGTAGACGTAATTCCATAGGGAGAACATACAGAATAAGAAGGGTCTTATGTAGAACATGAACAATACAAGGAAAAGGAACTATAGAGACTGAGGTGGAAGAGAAACCCAGGAAAGCAGTATCTCAGAAGCCAAGGAAAGAAGAAGAGTGGTGATTAACAACCTAGGCTTTGGAGTTCAAGCGTAGTTGGGTCTGAATACTAGTTCTGACCCATTTATTAACTGTGTGACCACATCTATAAAATGGAAATAAACTGGGCACAGTGTCTCAGGCCTATAATCCCAGCACTTTAGGAGACTGAGAAAGGAGAATCACTTGAGGCCAAGAGTTCAAGACCAGCATGGGTAACATAGCAAGACCTCATCTCTATAAAAAAATCAGCCAGGTGAGGTGGTACATGCCTGTGGTCCAAGCTACTCAGAAGGCTGAGGCGAGAGGATTGCTTGAGCCCAGGAGTTCTTGGCTGCAGTGAGCAAAAGGGATTAATCTTTCATTGTGGAATTTTAGAGAACAATCAGCTTAATGAGAAAAATATTTTTGTGAAGCAGGGCTTTCTCAGGGTGCCTAAAATCATTAAGTTTTTCACTGATAATTAACAAAAATCACTTTTAGGCAAAATTATTTTTCAAAGCACTTCATAGATTATTGTTACATTTCCCTTCACAGATATGAGTCAATACTCCTTACTAGGGATTTATCTTTATTAGAGGTGGACACTGAGATGTATTTTGAAGTATTTTGAAGTTTTTTGGAAGTATTTAAAAATAGCCTTTGGTAACATTAAAGCATTCTGGAATCACATATAATTCTGTCCTGTTCTGAAAAAAAAGCAGTGATGCTAAAAGACAGCAATCAGGACTCAATGAATTTTTTTTTTTTTTTTTCATTTAAAATTGTCTCAGAGGCTAGGTGTGGTGGCTCATGTCTGTAATCCCAGCGCTTTGGGAGGCTGAGGCAGGCAGATCACTTGAGGCCAGGAGTTTGAGACATGCCCGGCCAACACGGTGACACCCCATCTCTACCAAAAACACAAAAAAGTTAGCTGGGCATAGTGGCATATGCCTGTAGTCCCAGCTACTTGGGAGGATGAGGCATGAGAACTGCTTGAACCTAGGAGGCAGAGGTTGCAGTGGGCTGAGATCGTGCCACTGCACTCCAGCCTGGGTAACAGAGCAAAACTCTCACAAAAAAAAAAAAAAAAAAAAAAGTCTTGGAAATGCCAATACATGCTACTAAATTATTCTGGTAGGAAATACTTAAAATGAGTTATTTAAAAAGTAAACAGAGTAAATGCTCAATCTTGGAACTGATTAATAAAAAGGACATTGGTAATACAATTTAAAAAAACAAAGCCAATCAAAGAAAATACTGAATCTGCTTCTACAATAAATGAATGTAACTAAGCAATTCATATTTATTTGCTCTGGGTTTTAAATAAATATGTTTTTCCTTATGACATCCTTATTATCTCTTATTGCTACGTTTAATTCTCATTAAAATGTCACTTGTTCCTCATGTCTTCCTTCTTGATCAGAGGTAACCAAACTTTCTGATAAATGAAACTAATAGATCCAGTTAACAACTTCTGTGCACAAGGAGACTAAATGAGTATCACAAGAATCATCTGGGTGACTTTGATTTTGACTGTAGACATAGTTACTACAATATAAGCAATTTTAGTTTCTTGCTCCTGATCTTCACTTCTTTGTGCACTGTATGCATGCTCAGCATTATAACCTAGAACTGTAAATATTTCAGTATATTTTATTAGAAGATATTTACAAGGAATACTGGAGCAGGTACTTGAATTGAAGATCAATTCAGGATATTAATATTGCTGGTATTTGCCCCCAGAAATGAAGAATACCATCTGATAACTTCATTATCTGTTCAAACTCTCTTTTTTATTTAGCCAGTTATGACTATTCATTGCAAGACTATAACCATGAGGCAAGAAGTGTAGCAGCCTTGTCATGAAGGAAGCCAAGTAAATGGTATAGTTATAGTACGTCTACCAATCTCACTTTAGACAGTCTTTGTAAACAGACAATGATCATGAATAATACTGATCTGAATCATTTGCTAGACAAGTATTTATGAAATACTTACCAAATACATTACTAATGACCTCAGTACACAGAAACATATATAGTGACAGGCTTTAGGGTATTGGTCTAGAGGAACTCTAAGGTATCTCTGAGCCTGTGATTAGCAAAATGTGGTCTGTGGACCCCTAGGACTACCCAAATTATTTCAGAGAATAAACAAGGACAAACTATTTAAAAAATAGTATTAGGACATTTGCTGTTTTTATTGTATTGACATCATCTGATAGTACAAAGGCACTGGTGAGTAAAATTGTTAGTGTCTCAGCATGAATCAAGGTAGTGGCATCAAACTATCAGTAAGTCATTGTGATCTTCACCACCAATTTCATCTAAGTATATCTTTAATGAAACAACATAAATGATTACAATGATTTGCACAGCCATTATAGTATAACGGCTGTCTCAAGAAAAAATACTAGTGGGATTGTTTAACTTATAAGCTAAACTACCTGTTTTTTGTTTTTTGTTTTTAAATGAAAACCATTTTTACTTAAAAGAACCACAGATAAAACTATAGTTTTCCAGACTTGGGTGTCTGGCATATGAGCAAAGTCAGCCTATCACTTGAAGGACAAAACTAACCATATTTGTTGCTAATGATAAAATTCAAGCTACAGGACGAAAATGAGAATTTTGAAAACCTTGTATCTGCCATGGCAAACCTGAAAGTTTCTGAAGAGTTAACCACTTTTAAAATGAGATCAGTAGCAATAATAACAAATGTGATTTTAAAATTATATGATTAAATGTGTCAACATTTGGAAGATCTGCATAATTCCCTGAACCAATATTTTACAAGTGGTCAATACATGATGTAAAATCATACATGGTAAAAGACCTACTCAAAGTGCAAGATAGACCAATGGATTTTAATGTAACAGTGTAAAAAAACTCAATGATATGTCAGATTCCACACTGCAACTAACCTTTAAGGAATGACTACCTGTTAAGTTTTGGAGTCAACAAAGAAAAATATCCACAATTAGATGAAAGGCTATTAAAATACTCTTCCTTCTTCAGCTTCTTGTCTGTGTGAAGCTTGTCTTTTATTCATTTTAACCAAAGGAAGTATCACAGTAGACTGAATGTAGAAGCAGATATGAGAATCTAACAAGCCAGTTATTAAAGATATTTCTAACAATGTAAGACAATGTTATCCTTCTCACTAATATTTTTGCTTTAGAAAATAGTTTTTATTTATATTTTCAACATGCTGGATTTATTATTTTCTTAAAAATGAGACAATATTTTTTGAAACTTTTCAGTTTCAATTTCTATTACAGTAAGTATCAACACATGTTACCCACATAAACAAAAGCTCTTTGGGGTTTTAAATACTCTAAAGAGTATAAAGTCATCCTGAGACCAAAAAAAAATTGAGAACCACTGGCTTAGATCACAGCCTGGTGAAATCAGTACTATGATCTGTATAACAATCCACACATTACAACTATGTTAAAGGCACTCAAACTATTGAGTATGATACTATAACTATAGATGTACAATATTATGCAGTTGTAAAAACCCACAGAATTTTAAAGGGTAAACAATGAACTTTAACGTACGCAAATTTTAAAAATCATTTAGGACGTCACAGATCTCAATAAGGAATGCAGACTATGAAGAGAATCTAACTGTATTACAAACGTATAAACAACTTCACCAAGGGCTGGGTGGAAAAGGTATTGATCTAAGTAACCTTGGAAATGAGTAGAGTCTGTAAAAATAAAGGCAAAAGTAACTGCACATACTTACTTACTGTACTCTAGTTGATAAAGTATTTTCCCACCTGGGGATGGGTCAAAATTCTTTTTTTTTTTTTTTTTTTTTTTTAGATAGTCTTGCACTGTCACCCAGTCTGGAATACGGTGGCATGATCTCAGCTCACTGCAACCTCTGCCTCCTGGGTTCAAGCAATTGTCATGCCTCAGCCTCTGGAATAGCTCGGATTATACATAGGCGTGTGCCACTTTGTATTACTATTATTTTTTTTTAGTAGAGACAGGATTTTGCCATGTTTACCAGGCTGGTCTAACTCCTGGCCTCGGCCTTTCAAAGTGCTGGGATTATAGGCATAAGCCACGGTGCCCAGCCAAGGTATATATACTGGAATTGAATGATTAAGTAAATGGATGGTGGGTGATGGGAACTAAGTTTTTTACTACTGGAGTGGGAGCATACAGATAAGGAGAGGAGACTAGAATGATTCATGTGGTAATAGAGTTGGAAACATCAGCATAATTTCATGTTTAGCTTAAGGCAAATATAAACAGTTACATATAGAAATATTTATAGCCATGAGCTATGTATATATGTTAGTGTGTGTGTGTGTATATATATACACACACACACTTCCTTGCTCTGCCAGCTGAAAGGGCCTATAAACAAGGACACTCCGGTAACAACAAACACACCTATCATCCAGATCTTGGTTTCTAACACCTTTTTCCGATAAAAATATCGACAGAACCATTCAAGAAATGGCTGACTCTAAGATGGGCAAGAAATACACAAAATGAATCTAGAGCAATCTTTGAGTGCCAAAAAAAATTAAGGAAGTGCTATAAAACAAAGACAAATAAAAAATACCTACACTGATGAGGGTATATCAAAGGGAAACAAGAGCCAACCGAGCAAGGCATGGTGGTTCACGCCTGTAATCCTAGCGCTTTGGGAGGCTGAGGCGGGTGGATCACTTGAGGTAGGAGTTCGAGACCAGCCTGGCCAATATGGTGAAACCCCATCTCTATTAAAAATACAAAAATTAGCTGGGCGTGGTGGCACACACCTGTAATCCCAGCTCCTCAGGAGGCTGAGGCAAGAGAAGTGTTTGAACCCGGGAGGCACAGGTTGCAGTAAGCCAAGATTGCGCCACTGCACATGAGCCTGGGCAACAGAGTGAGACTTCATCTTAAAAAAAACAACAAAAAAAGAGCCAACTAAAAGAGCTCCCAATAGCCTAACTGGGGACAGTTTGAAAAGCAAAATAAATAAAGTAGTACTGACTTGTAACTCAAAGTATAAAATAAATAGCCATGAGTCCATGCTGATATAAATGATTAACTGAATAAATAAATGGGGAAGAAGAGATAGAGATAAATCTCCCATACAGAAATATTCCAAATATAATTAATGTAGATATTCCACACTTAAGGAGGGAGGGCAAAAATCCCCACTCCTTAAGTGTGGGCTGCCTATAGTGATTTATTTCCAAAGAGTATAGCAGAGAACAGGAGAAAAAGAGCAACTTTACAGTGGAGAAATTTGAGAACACCACCTACGTTAGCCAGCTCAAGCTCCGTTAATCAAGCTCAATATCAACTCTGAGAAATCATGCTGACAGCATGTTCTCTTGATATGATGTGATGAAAATGACATTTTACCTCTGAGATCACACTCCCCAAAACCCATAACTCCAGTCAAATTATGGAAAAATATCAGACAATAATTCCAACAGAGGGGCATCTTACAAAATATTCGGATACAAAATCCCCAAAAAATCAAAAACAAGAAAAGTCTGACAAACTATCACAGCTAGGAGGAGCCTAAGCAGACATGACAAGTAAATGTAATGTGGTGTCCTGGATGGGATCTTGGAATGGAAAAAGACATCAGGTAAAAACTAAGGTGAATACACTATGGACTTCAGTTAATAATAATGTGCCAATATTGGTTCATTAATTGTAACAAATGTAGCATCCAAATGTAAAATGTTAATCACAGATAAACCTGGGTACTAGGTTACTGGAACTCTGCAATCCTCTCAATTTTTCTGTAACACTAAAAGTATATCTGGCTCACGCCTGTACTCCTAGCACTTTGAGAGGACAAGACAGGCGGATCATGAGGTCAGGAGTTCGAGAGCAGCCTGACCAACATGGTGAAACCCCGTCTCTACTAAAAATAGAAAAAATTAGCTGGGCATGGTGGCATGCGCCTGTAATCCCAGCTACTCAGGAGGCTGAGGCAGGAGAATCACTTGATCCTGGCAGGAAGAGGTTGCAGTGAGCCGAGATTGCGCCACTGCACTACAGCCTGGGTGACAGAGCGAGACTCCATCTCAAAAAAAAGAAGAAAAAAAAGGTTTTCAAAAAACAGTCAATTTTTTTCACAATTAATGATAAAGACAGTCAAAATTGGTGGCTATATGAGAATAAACCCTTAATTCCCTCTAATTTAGAAAAGTTCCTTGCAATGCAAAACTTTGACAATTCCACATCAGCTTACATTGTCTATATACTTTTAAAGAGTAACAATGTGTTCTTCAACCTACCATTTTTTTCTCCCATTTCTTGATGTCGTTTATAAATATAAAATGCTTCAAAATTAGGTTTATCAAATCACTTTGATTGGAGAGTATCACTGGAATCCAACTGTGGTCTCTATGAAATTTGCAGTCCTCAGACAGAATACATCATTATACCATTCTAAACCTGATATCCTTTGGTACTTGAATTTTCAAATAGAAATTGTGGCTGAAGAAACTTTCAGAAATGAGTGACAGTCTAACCAAAAGACAAGTCCATGAATCTTCATCCCGTGAATATTTGTAGTGGTATCAGATCATTAACATTATCTTTGTAAAAGTAAAAAACAACTCCATCTTTTGGTCCACAAATGGATGAAACATTCTGTAAGGAAAACAATAAAAAACAGTGCATATTTGTAAAGGACTATATATATATAAGGAAATAAGATATCGCTATAACAGCTTGATCTTCTAAAACAGCATGAACCATTACAAAAAACATATGTTATCTGGAAAAAATATGTAAAGTATCGAAAGTAGAAATATTAGAGAAGGCCCACCCAATCCTATCACTCATATTTAATATATTTGTTAGTATTTACATTACTGACAATTAAACTATCTCCATTTTGTAAGTCTTTTATAAAAACTTTTAAAAAGGGGATAATACTAACTACCTCACAGGTTGTTCTGAGGGCAAGACTTAATTACATAGAATAGTGCCTGACATATGAAAGATTCAAGGAATACTGGCAATTATTGTTATTATTTCAGAATGTAGTTTTAAAACAAAATTTGGATTGCAGTATATATAATTTTTTATAATCTTTCATTAAAAACATTTCCTGCATTTCCTCCATCATTAATATTTTAATACAACTGGCTGTACAACATACTTAGGTCAATAACCCATACATTATAGTACATTAAATATTTTAATAATTAAATTTTAATAAAATATTGATTAGTAACATAAACCTCTATTCAATTATTTAGATTGTTTTCCTTTATAGATTAATTTTTAGTATAATAAATAATGATAAAATAGATATACTTTATACCTATCTCTGGCAATTTCCCTAGGGTAACATATCTAGACATAGAGTAACAGGTCAAAAATAGATCAACAATTTAAATTCTCAAGATGTTAGCCAAGATACAGTAAATTCTTCTGCCACTTCTACACCAAACCATGGAAATGTTAGGAGATTTAAAAAATATATATATAGCCATGCTGAAAACAAAAAGGGAACTCTCTAAGGGCCAAGTCTGTGAGGCCTTTCTGGGGAAAGGAAACAGATGGGACGCTATAGAGATGATGGCAACCACAATCACAGCAGCAAAACTATGGGCAGGAATCCTTTCAGAGGAGATGAATGCACAACTAAGAGTCCTCAAACATCTGAAGAAGGCTACACTATGAAAGAGACTGAGCTAAAGAAGGAAATCTCATCCATGAAATAACATACAATTTTGGAAAAAAGTCAATTAGATAGCTTGGATATAAAAACAGTTGTTGAAATAAACTCAATAGATGACTGAATGACAGAACAGACTCACATGAAGAGCCAGTTAATAAGCTGGAAGACTGATTTGAGTAATTCACCAAGAACCCAGAGCAAAGAAACAAGAGGAGGCACAAAATTGAGAAAATGGAGAGGAGGCAATAATGACCAAGAATTTCTCAGAACTGGAAAACACATAAGCAAACTGAATCCACTGAGTACCAAATAGTATAAAATTCTTAATACACATCGCTAGACAAACCGTGACTAACTTCAGAATATCAAAACCACAAAGTCTTAGATGTTTCCAGAAAAATGTAGACTATCTAAAAGGAAGGTATATCAGACTAGTAATGAGATTTCTCATCAGAAATGTCAGATGCAAAATGTTAAAGAAAAGTCAGTATGAACTCAGAACTCTATATCCAGCCAAGCTATCTTTCCATACTAAAGATGAAAAAAGAGACATTTACAGACATTCAAAGAGTCACTCAGAGACTGTGAAAGAAATAAGTATCTGATGATGAAAAATGAACCTACAAGAAAGCACTGAGGTATAAGCAGCAATAGTGAGCAAATAAATGAGTAAAAGACATTAATGTTAAACATAAACTGAATTTAATAACAAAACAAAAATTCTTAAAGATATAATGAGAGACTATATTCTTTTTTGGAGGAGAGATGGAAGGGATTGTTTCAAGATGACAGAAAGCAAAGCAGAAGCATGCTAAATTCTTTTTACAGGGGCCATATCGATACTGACTAAATGTACACTTTGTTAGGAAAACATAAATTTAAGAACTGTGTTGAAATGTGAAGTTAATCTACTAAAAAAAAAACTGAACAAAGAAAACTTGGGGCTAACCTCAGTTAAAAATAAAAGTGATTCCAGCGCTTTGGGAGGCCGAGGTGGGCAGATCACCTGAGGTCAAGAGTTTGAGATCAGCCTGGCCAACATGGCAAAATCCCATCTCTACTAAAAATACAAAAATTAGCAGGGTGTGGTGGTGCGCACCTGTAATCTGGGCTACTTGGGAGGCTGAGGGAGGAAAAGTGCTTGAACCCGGGAGGTGGAGGTTGCAGTGAGCCAAGATCACGCCACTGTACTCCAGCCTGGGCAACAGAGCAAGACTGTATCTCAAAAAACAAGTGGAAAAATAAGGTATAAAAGATACAAAGAGAAGCATATTAAATGATGACAAGAATAAGGTCAAAATATGTCAGTAATCACAATAAAGGTGAATTACCTATTAAAGGACAGACTCTCAGATTGGATGGCAAGCAAAACCTAGATATGATATTTTAAAATAAGAGACCCACTTAAGTTACACAAAATGTCACAGCAAGGCTGAAAATGAAGAGACTGGAAAAAGACATATCTGCAACTATAAGAAGAAACATTCATATTAAATAAGAGTTGAATATGAAAATCAATGTTGACAGAACAATTCACTGTAAGATTTAATATTCATGAACCTTTATGTACAAAAAACATCACTCTGAAATATATAAAGCAAAATTTAAATAAAAGGAAAATGCACAGATCCACAATTTGATAAGAAAGTAACAAATCAAGAAACTGACAGATAAAGTGGGCAAAAAACCAGGATATAAAGGATTTAAATGACAATTAACAAGCTTAATCCAAAAAATGTACAGAACCCTGCACCCAACAGAAAATACTTCTTGTGGGAGGAAACTGTAGACAAACTTAACTCTCATAAACTACCTGTGGAACATGTAACTTAGTAGAGGTATTTTGGAGGCAAATTTAGCAAGACCTATTAAAACTAAAAATGCTCACAGCTTAAAACCAAGCAATTCCACTTTTACGTATAATATCCTTGACAAATAGTACATGTGCACAAGAAAACACAAAGATTTTCCTTGCAGCATTGTTGTATGGCAAAAAACTAGAAACCTAATGTTTTCAAGAGAATGGCAATAAAATGTGCTATACAGCACACATCAAACAAAATAGGATTTAACAAAAAGACCAGTAAAAGAGACAAAGAGAAATATTTTATATTAACAGATCAATTGAGTCATACACTGGAACACTATGCAGCAGCTAAAAGAAATGATCCATAAATAACATAATGACCTATAAATAACATGTACAGGCTGCAAAACCAATGTCAAGAAATAAAGCTACAGAATGATGTAGTATGGTATTTTTCCACTAAAAAAATACAAACGTATATATTCACCTATATAGAATATGTAACAGTATTAAAAGGTGTAAGTATTAAAAAACACTTGACAGCTCTGTACCAAAGTCTCCAGCAGGAGTAGGGAGGGAGAGGAGTGAGGGAACATTCCTTCTACAAAACTTTCAAAGAACAGAGAATTTTTATTATATAGGAACTTCCAAGCAGGAAAAATACGGGAAGCTACTCAACTGTTTCTATGAGATAAATATAACCTTGACACGCAAGAAAAAACTCAAGGTCAAAATCTGGATTGTGCTCTTTATCTACAAGGTATCAATTTTGTAATAAAAGTGTACTTAATTTTTAAAAATGAAGTATATATAAATGTTCAAAAAGGAATTGTTCATTTTAAAGCTTTTTATAGCATATTGTCAAACTCTCTTCCAGAAAGGTTCTACCAATTTATACTTCCACTTAAGCACATTCAGTAATAGTTTTATTTTACTTTTTTTTTAGACATGAGGTCTCATTATATTGCCCAGGGTAGTCTTGAACTCTGGACTCAAGCGATCTGCCCCGCCGGCCTCCCAAAGTGATGGGATTACAGATGTGAGCCACCGTGCACGGCCATAGCTTTGTTTTTTTTGGGACGGAGTCTCGCTCTGTCACCCAGGCTGGGGTGCAGTGACGTGATCTCAGCTCAATGCAGCCTCCGCCTCCCGGGTTCAATCGATTCTCCTGCCTCAGCCTCCCGAGTAGCTGGGATTACAGGGGCCCACCACCACACACCTGGCTAATTTTTGTATTTTTAGTAGAGACGGGGTTTCACCATGTTGGCCAGGCTGGTCTTGAACTCCTGACCTGAGGTGATCCGCCCGCCTCAGCCTCCCAAAGTGTGGGGATTACAGGCCTGAGCAACCGCGCCGGCCCGTATCTTTGTTTTTAAGCAGCTCTCAGCAGCGTTCACACCTGAAAATTTGAAAACAACTGAACGTGCAAAAGTGAAACATGTTTCCTGGAGAAAATCTGCAAAATACAATAAAGTATGAAAGAGAAAATTTAAACACCATCCCATCATCCAGAGACAACTGGTGTTAATATTTCAGAGAGTAAATGGGCTTAAAAAACTTTTTTCCCCTTCTTTTTCATTTTGGCATAATAATTAAGCCAGTCTGCTTTGCTTCAATGTATGGTCCCTCTTCGTTTCTAAAAATAGGCCTTAAAAACACACTGACCATTTCCTATCGGCTCCTTACGTTTTAATTATAACGACAGAACCACGGGTTAGTCACGCTTCTAAGTATTTCACGTGTTCTTATTTAATCCCCCTAACAGTCATGTGGGTTACATTGGCAGCTCGTTTGCTGATGAGGAAGCTAAGGCATGTCATACCATAAGTGGCAGACACAAAATAAGGAACCAGGCAGCATGGTTTCAGAGCCTATGCTTTGGTTACTCCATTTGACCTCTTCAAAGTTACTCCTCTCTTTGGCCTCATGCATTAATATTTACAGAGCTCACTGCAGCTTTCCACATGCCAAAGAGCACAGTTAGTTACATATCTTTCCTTACTTAATTACTTATTGGGCTGCGGCTGATAGCGAGTTAGAAGTGTTACTATCTAATCTGAACTCAGTTATCTTGGATGAATGACCGAACTTGCTGTATTTAAAGGCTCGTGTAATCTTACCTGTGAAATGGGCTAGTGGTTAAACCTTCAAGTTCTGCTTCTGGGTTTTATACTGCTGTCCATTTCCTGCCGCCCCTTTGACAGCCTCACGTTCCCAGCAGCTTAGGAATCACCTCATAAAGGCTGCACCCTGAGACAGACAGACAGGCTGAATGAAATGGAGGTTGAGAACTCAGTTCGCCCGCGGCCCCTTCTGCAGCCAGGACTGTACTTGGGTGCCAGGAGAAGGGAGGCTGCAAGGGCTGGGGTCCAGCCCCTGCTCGGGCGGCCGAGGGCTCCGCGGCGTTGTCAGGTCCTCCGAACCGCCCGGCTAGAGGAACTGTCGGGGGTCACCCACCGCGGTGCCTTGGTTTCACCTGGCTCCGCTGCGTTTTCTACGCTGCCCGCCTGACCTGGGGAGTGATCTCTGCCAGCTCCGTTGGCGAGGCTGGGTTCCTCCGCGGGTGGGACTCTCCTCTGACGCCAAGCCGCCCAGACCCCCCGAGCGCAGGTGCCCTCTGGCCGGGAAGTACTTCACCATTTACTAGCCTTCATCTCAACCACAACAGTCCCGCCTGGCCTCCACCGGGGATAAGGCACAGCGGAACCTCCGCCGGAGACCAGGCCGACCTACCTAAAGCGATCACTACATGGGAGGAGTCGGACGCCGGCCGTCCCACCACCCAGCCTGGAGCCCATTGATTGGTCGCACTCCCTACTGGTTCACGCCTCAGAGACTCGGCGCGCTTACCGCTGGCACCGCAGTGGCGCCCGAGCGCGCCGCCTCTCGATTGGCTGCTAGCGCTCTCGGCTTGTCTCGCGCTCTCTCGCTGGGCCAATGGAGTTACTCGTAGTCGAGAGGCCGGCATCACTGGAGTGGTGGCGCAGCTGTTTCCTCCGGTAGGTGTGGGGCTGCCATCTTGTGTGTGGCTGGGACTGGGCTTCTTGGGGGTTGAAAACTTATATGGCGTCTCGCCGTAGTGGAGGGGTCCAGAGAGAACACTGGGGTAGAGGAGAGGCCTAAGGGAGGAGACCCAGCGCCTTCTCACTTGCGGGAAGGATGGGTTTCCTTCCTGGGCCTGAGTCTCATCCCTGGCTAGAGAGAGCGAGGAGTGGTGGTGGTGGTGGTTGTGGTGGTGGTAATAGTAGGGATCCCAGGTTTTGGTTTGTTGGTCGTTGTGGGGGCTGGGCGGTGTCTTTGACGCCTTAACATTCACTCCTTGGTTCCGGGGAGCTCTTTAGTAATCTTTGTCTCACAAAGATTTCTGGCCATCAACCCCCTTTGACAAAGGAGGCTAGCTGATGAACTGCCTGATTGAGAAAGAAGCAAAGCTAGTAATGGAAGGGGAGTGCCTCACTACTATTCTCAGGTTCAAAAGAGACCTCCTCTTCCGTCATTTTCGGGGGAGCGGCTGCTAAACTGTTTGCTCTTCGCGAGGGTTACTCTTTGAGACCATCCTTTGGTAGTAGTGGGGGTCAAGTTCTGCGTTTGGGCAAGATTGTTCTTTAGCGGGCATTCAAGCATTCCTACAGCTGTCTTTTTTTTTTTTTTTTTTCCTTCATTTTAAGCTAGAAAGTGGTGGTCTTGCGGAAACGGGACGTGAAGGAAGAATTTTGTCAAATCTTGATTTCCGCGAGAACGATATATTATAAATCTCTGGGTCTGCCATGACGTGCTTGGTCACTTCATGGAGCAGGAGGAGGCTTTGTTAGGGAAAGCACCTTCATTTCTGCGCTCTTTCTGGGTGGGAGGAAGAAGACAGGACTTAACCTCGTTTTCCTTCCTCCCTTTTTTTTTTTTTTTTTTTAGCATTGTAATGGACGGCATGCATTGTCTTTCATTTGAGGGGAAAATGTATTGGATCTGAAGAGCAAGCCGATGAAAGGCTAATATTTTGTGGTAGATTTTAGCAGTTTGACTTGCATGAAAGAAAGCCAATATATTATTGCCTTGAGCTTAGATTTCAGTTATTCAGCATTAACTGATGAACAACCGAATCAACAATACATGATAAAGACATCTCCCATCAGGAATACCAAACAACAAAACAAACAGCAAAATAATTGATGTTTGTTTTTGTCGCCCAGGCTGGAGTGCAAAGTGTAATGGTGCAATCTCGGCTCACTGCAACCTCTGCCTCCCTGGTTCAAGCGATTCTCCTGCTTCAACCTCTTGAGTAGCTGGGACTACAGACACCAGCCACCCTGCCCAGCTAATTTTTGTATTTTTAGTAGAGATGGGGTTTCACCATGTTGGCCAGGCTGGTCTTGAACTCCTGACCTTAGGCGATCTGCCCGCCTCAGCCTCCCAAAGTGCTGGGATTACAGGTGTGAGCCACTGCACTGGGCCTAACTGATGAATTTAAAATTCATTTTGGGCAGGGCTCCATGGCTTAACGCCTGTAATCCCAGCGCTTTAGGAGGCTAAGGAGGGAGGATTCCTTAAGGCCAGGGGTTCAAGACCAGCCTGGGGAACAACGAGACCCATGTCTACAATAAAAGCCAAAAAATAGCTGGGTATGGTGTCATGTGCCTGTTATCCTAGCTACTGAGGAGGCAGAGATGAGAGTTTGAGGCTGCAGGGAGCCAACCACTGCACTCAGCCTGGGCAATAGAGTGAGATCCCAACTCAAAATAAATCTAAAACACATTTTTAATTCCTTTTTTTATTGAAGAACCTTATAAAACCTAAGTTGCAAGAATTCAGGTATCGATAAAGTGGTGTTGATTTGGTAGCTAAAGTACATGTCAGGAAAAGTTACCAAGATCAGCTGAAAGATCCTGGGTAAGAAACATCAATAACAGTAGGAGGTCAGTACTAAATAATAATGCTGTTTAGCATTTAGATACAAATGCTAAAACATTGGTATCTCATTCACTGCATATATTAGATAATATAATTGTTCAATGAGTCAGTAAAAGAATGCAGTAATTGGGAGGTATGGATATACCTTTTTTTTTTTTTTAGCCTAATTGAAAAATAATTGTTGAATCTGCTTCCTGGAACACTTGACTTTCAATTTGGATTAAATGTATTATTGTGTCCAGTTTAAACATACAAATAATGTTAAGGATAGGTTCGTAATCCTTGGTCTTTACAAAAAAATTTTAAAGGCAGAAAATTTAGATAACTAAGGTGAGTCCTCAAGTGATAATGCTCTATTTGCCATTGTTTTCTTGAAGGCACATAAAATCTTTTTTTTTTTTTTTTCTGGAGACAGAGTCTTGCTCTGTTGTCCATGCTAGAGTATGCAGTGGTGTGATCTCAGCTCACTGCAACCTCTGCCTCCCAGGTTCAAGTGATTCTTGTGCCTGTAGCTGGGACCACAGGTGTGTGCCACCACACTCAGCTAATTTTTGTGTTTTTAGTGTAGACAGGGTTTCACCATGTTGGCCAGGCTGGTCTCGAACTCTTGACCTCAAGTGATCTGCCCACCTCGGCCTCCCAAAGTAGGTACAGGCATCTTCTATGTGGTTAAGATTTAAAACTTCAAATCCTTACCTTTTTCTTTTGTCCAGCTGGGTAGCTTCAGTCTCCAAAATGCCTTTCCTTTTCATCTTTCTACTCTCACGGTCACTGCCTTAATTTAGCTTCTATTTTTCTTTTTTAAAAAAACATTTTAGGCCAGGCGTGGTGGCTCACACTTGTAATCCTTGCAGTTTGGAGGCCGAGGCTGGGGGATTGCTTGGGCCCCGGAGATAGAGACCAGCTGGGCACCGTGGTAAAATGCTGTCTTTACCAAAAATACAAAAGGTTAGCCAGGCATGGAGGCATGTGCCTGCAGTCCCAGCTTCTTGGGAGGCTGAGGTAGGATCACCTGAGCCCAGGAGGTTGAGACTGCAGGGAGCCATGATTGTGCCACTGCACACAGAACTAGACTCTATCTCAAAAAAAAAAAATTTTAAAATAAAAAACATTTTTTCATTTCTAGAAGCCAGGAAATAAAAAAAAAAATCTTAGTGCTCCCTTAGCAGCACATACACTAAAATTGGAACTATACAGAGAAGATTAGCATGGCTCCTCTGCAAAGATTACATGCAAATTTGCAAAGCATTCTGTATTTAAAAAACCAAACATTTTATATGACATTGTATTATTCACAAAGCCCACACTCCTCAGTTTGGAATTTCTGTTACTTAAGATAGAGGTTTGGCTACTGTGATGGAGAAATTTAAAAATAATTGTGGCCTTAATACAATTTTTTCCAATGGAAAAATATGAGCTGATCAGGTGGCTTTCCTACACACAGTTGTCAGGGGCCCACGCCCCTAGCATATTGCTCTGCCATTCTTAATGCAGCTGTATCTTGAGGACCAAGGTGACTGCTTCACATCCTACTGTTATATAGTACATGCTTAAATTGAAGGGTAAAATGTGTTATGGTAGGGGACACAATATTTGCAAGTGGTAGTAGGAGTAGGATTTTATTTCACTGCCTTAATTTTTTAAAGGTCATTTTTACATTGTCACAGGAAAATTTTTAAGTAACAGTTATATTACTGCTGTTGGGATTTCATGAGCTTTTAATTGTTCTTTCAGGTTCCTGACAGTTCTATTGCGGAGAGAGGAGGGTAACTTGTGCCTTTCAAATACTGTGCTTGTGGCCTATATTGTTCCTTGCAGTCCTGGGGCCTACTTTGTACTTTGCATTTCTCTCTGTAGAAATGGTTCCCGCAGCCAAAAATCACTTTTTTTTGTTTTTTTGAAACGTGGTCTCGCTCTGTTGCCCAGGCTGGAGTGCAACGGTGCGATCACAGCTCACTGCACCCTCTGCCTCCTGGGTTCAAGTAATTCTTCTGCCTCGGCCTCCTGAGTAACTGGGTTACAGTCACCCACCACCATGCCCGGCTAATCTTTGTATTTTTAGTAGAGACGGGTTTCACCATGTTGGCCAGGCTGGTCTCGAACTCCTGGCCTCAAGTGATCCACCCAATCTCCCAAAGTGCTGGGATTACAGGCATGAGCCACTGTGTCCAGACCACATTCTTTCGAAAGTAATTGGTGCTTAGATCAACAGCTTCCTCCTTTTTGTTTGTTTGTTTGTTTGTTTTTGAGGCAAAGTCTCCCTGTCACTTAGGTTGGAGTGCAGTGATGCGATCTTGACTCACTGCAGCTTTGACTTCCTGGGCTCAAGCGATCTTCCCACCTCAGCCTCCCTAGTCGCTGGGACCACAGATATGTGCCACCATGCTCAGCCAATTAAAATTTTTTTTTTTTTTTTTTTTGTAGAGACAGGGTCTCCCTGTGTTGGGCTGGTCTTGATCTCTTGGGCTCAAGTGATCCTCCCACCTCCGTCTCCCAACGTGCTGGAATTACAGGCACGAGCCACTGCACCTGGCCGCCTCCTTGAAATATAGACAGATTTCATTCAATCACAATCTTTTTTTACTCTGTACAGTTGACCCTTGAACAGCATGGGTTTTACCTATTTGGGTCCTCTTATACACAACATTTTTTCAATAAATATGTTGGAAATTTTTTTTGGAGATTTGTGACAGTTTGAAAAAACTCACACATGAGCCATGTAGCTTGGAAATATTGAAAAAATTAAGAAAAAGACATGAATGCATAAAATATATGTAGATATTGGTGTATTTTATTTACTACCATAAAATATACACAAATCTCTTATAAAAAAATTAAAATTTACCAAAACTTACACAAATGCAGGTTGTACTTGGCACCATTAGTAGTGGAGAGAAATGTAAAGTGTAGGGATGCAGTATTAAACCATAACTGCATAAATGACTGCAGTCATGGTAAATGACTGTGGTACTTACTGTACTACCGCAATAATTTTGTAGGTCTCTCTGGTTGCTATTGTAGTGAAGTGAAGTGCTGTGAGTATCTGCTTGAAAAGCCCTGTGATGCTGATCATCTCCATGTGAGCAGCTCATCA